AGCCGGTCCCTGCCAACGGTCTATCCTCTCGCACACATTCCCCTTGCTTTTGCGCACACTTTCTCACGTTAGTTTTGTCTCTGCAGAAAGCTCTAATAGACAGGCTGATAATGTTTTATCACCCCGTTTGGTGACCGGTGTCTGTACGCTCTCCTGAGGGCTGTACGAGGTAACCTGGGAATAGAGTGATGTACGGAGGAAAAGAAAATATCAAAAATTGCCTGCGATGGCAAGCTTGGAGGCCAGGAGAAGACGGCATGGCCACACGAGACCCTAGCTCAGAGCGGTGAGGGGCTGCCGTGGGTCAGCCGGGGTCCATCGCCTGCTGATGCAAAGGTCGCACAACCTTGAGCGTGGGTTGTGGGACACGGCTTTGGGTGGTGGTTGTGGGTGCAGTGGAGGGGTTTTGGCCTGACATCTCCACCAGGTTTGGCTGCAGCCACTGGAGGTCACTGGTGATCTGCAGCTCCACGCACAAAGTCACTTTTGGAGAGGTGGGTAGGAGCCTTGCTCCCAGGTACTGGCTCTAATCTCTGGGAGCTGGGTGGTCGCTCTCATGTGGGAAGAAGATCTGGCCCCCCAACTCTCTCCGATTATCCCTATCCCCTGCTCCTGGATGCAAGGACCCTTTGGGGACCCATCGTTTCCAATTGCACAGCTCGGTGTAGAACCCCCTGGGAGGGATGCTGGCTCGGGGAACCTCATACAGCTCCCGAGCAAACAGCACTGCCGCACGTGAAATGCAAAGCCAGTAACTCGCGCTTCGGGAGGCAAAGGTAGAACTTCAGCGGCTAATTCTGCCCTCATCGTTCTTGTCAAATAGCCTGTAATTAAGTTAACTAGGAGGAATGATGTCCATTTGAAGGAGGATGCTCTTCTTCGTTTCTCCTCTTCCTGGCCGGGCTGAGGCGGTTCGGTGTCCCAAGCAACGCTGCATGCGGGCTCCGTGGGTGCGATATAGTTAGCGATGGGGGTTTGGGGCTGAAAGGGCCCTTCTAGCAGGGTTTGGAGCCATTGCCAAAGAAATGTGTGATTTTAGAGATGCCCATGTCCCTTCGCTGTCTTTTGCTGTTTGAGCATCCAACCAGAAGTGGGGGGGGAAAAAAAATCTCCAGAAGAGACTTGGGAATCTTTAGGGTTCAATGGAGAGCAAACCTTCCAGCAGCAATGCAAACTGGTGAAATCCCCGTTGAAATGCCCTCACTGTTTCCAAAGGGGCTGGAAACATATTTCCAGCTCCAATCCCAGCTATAGCACCTGGCCGCTCCAGCAGGAAAGGTTAGCATCCTTCAGGACTGCAAGGTCAAGCGATTTAGGGTAATGCTGTTGCTCAGCATTTAAGTAAAACCTGGCTTAAAATCTTTTGGGGTTTCCACACCCCCTGAACACTGATGTCTCCTCGTCTGCAGGTAGTGAGCAAACCTCACTTACTTGTTTAAGGCAAAACCGATCCGCTGTTGGAGCTCACCCATCAGCAATATTATCCTCTCCCCACCCAGGGGGTAAGGTTGGCATTTTCTGATTCAGACTGTGCAATGCAAACCTCAGCTGAATGAGAAATCTACCTCTCTAAACCTCCTTTAGAGAAGGAGAAGGGGGAAAGAGAGCAAAGGAAAGGGTCCTAAATGGGAGGTGGGTGCCTCCTGGTTTTGGCCGAGGAGCAAATACTGAGGTTGAGAGGTTTTGGGTCCAAATAGTCCTCCCCAAAACACCTTGTGCAGGTCCGTAGGGGTTCGCAGGGGTGGTACATGCCAGCAGAGACTATAGCAACTCATCGGCCTGTAAAACATCGTCTGAGCCAGCCCAAATCCTGACCGTGAGACAAGAGGAGTGGGAAATAATGGGATGCTCCTGGTGAAAGGGTGAAGATGGGGAGCGAGTGGGACTCAGAGCTGCTATCAGCAGCTCGGCAGAGAGCTGAGCAATGCAACAAGGGCGATACGGGCTCCCTCCTCCCACGGTCACGCAGGGATCCTCCTGTTCAGACCCGAGGGCAAGTCCCAGGGCAATTACTCTCCGTGTCCTTGAGGCTCGCTCTGAGTGAGACTGTCCTGTAAACAGCAGAGCCTTGATGCAGGGGAAGCCCTGATTTTAAGCGAAGTCTTGGATGGCCTCCAATACCTTTGCAAAGTTGGCAGGAGAGGATAAGGCAGCATCTTTGGCCCCATGGGAACCCTCTTGTAGGGCTGCCGTCATCCCTAATGGTGCTCTGGGGGTTTCTAGGAGCAGGGGTAGCCCTTGCATCCCCATCTTGCAGCCCTGATGGGGCATTTAGCTATTCATCTCTGGGGTACCCTAAATACAGACCTAGAAAGGGAGTCCCTGGGGAGCTTTGGCCATGCTGTTCTTGCTGGAAGTGCCTGTGTTGTGGGAGCTGCTCTCTACTTCGTAGACTTCTCGAAGACTTCTCTTCTTCCCAACTATATGTCCAGAAAAGTTAGGAGTCAAACAGAGAAAATGTAAAAATACATGGCATTTATTTCTGTACATAACCAAAGGGCTTGTAATTTCTGTCTCCAGATGGAAAACCAGACAAATTTCCGCCCCCCCCCAAAACCAGGAGACTCAGTGCTACGTTGTCAGGCTCATAATTTAAAAAAAATGCTCAATGTCCTCCTTTTTTCCT